GAAGAAGGCATGTCATACACCCAGGTTTCAGCAGCCTGGGAGCATACGGTGCTTCTTCGAAGTGATGGTACTGCTGTGGCTTGCGGAGGCAACGATCAGGGACAATGCAGTATTCCACCGCTGAAAGAAGGAATGTCATACACCCAGGTTTCTGCAGGCCCAGATCATACGGTGCTTCTTCTAAGTGATGGAAATGCTGTGGCTTGCGGAGAGAACCTTGATGGACAATGCAATTTTCCACCATTGAAGGAAGAGATGTCATACACCCAGGTTTCTGCAGGCACGTCACACACGGTGCTTCTTCTAAGTGATGGAAATGCTGTGGCTTGCGGAGCTAACAGTGATGGCCAATGTGATATTCCACCTCTGGAGGAAGGAATGTCGTACACCCAGGTTTCTGCAGGGGGGAGTCATACAGTGCTGCTCCGAAGTGATGGTAGTGCTGTGGCTTGCGGAGGCAACGCTTTTGGACAATGCGACATTCTACCTCTTGAGCCTGGGATTTGCTACACTGCCTCATTCGGCAACGACGTTGTTCTCCAACTGGATTTTGTTCTTGCAGATGATGCGATCATGCTGACATGCTCAGATTTGGCTGGACATGAAGCGTTACGGTTGAAGGCACTTGGGGGTGATCTGGCTTGGGAGACACACAGGCACATTACACAGGAACTGAGTATGAGCCTCTCCAGACTTCGACTCGTCCTGCCCGATGGAGGCTTGTTGGCCTCAGTATGCAGAGCAAATCCACTGACCACCATTGCAGATGTGAGTAGACTGAACATGACCAGTGCTTCGGATAGTATATCCATTGCAGAGACGGAAAATACATGATCGCCAGTGTGAAGAGTTCCATTCTACTGGTAGAATGTTTGTTTTTTGCAAAACAGTTGACAATGTGAGAAAGGTGATGATCGGATTCCCAAAAGGTGTCCTTTCTGCTCAAAAGATGAGTATTGTGCAGAATCCACGCCATCCATTAAACCAATCTCGAAATTGTTGGAGCTGCCATGCAAGACGGGCAGCTTTTTGGTTGTAGCCTTTGATTCGGTAATTATGTATATGTACGGGCATTCGTATCCGAGATTGGATCAGATCCCATGCTGATAGCTACACCAGGGACCTCTTCGAGGCACACCGCCACACTGGCACATGGGCGGAAAACGAATTCCTTTGACCACGCAGACATACCGACAGGTTTTGTGCACATTTGTCACGCAACCAGATGGTTGACACTAGCCGCTCATGAGTTTTTCTTTTTTCATGAGGGGTCTCCGATTCCTTCGACGAGCAGGTGAGCGGTCTGTCAGTCCCTACTACCCCTCTGGAAGTCTCAGATGGACCCTGAAAACCACTGCTTGGTGGGTCCATGTTAGTTTTCGGGAGGGTATAGTTCCATCATCCACAAAAAGCAACATGAAGTGGGGGATAGACGCAAGGAACGGCACATGGTGCAAGAAGGAGAAATGGGGTATTCCAGATAGCCAATACCCCTTTCATCATTCATCACTCATGAATAGTGTCGAAATGGACTCCCCAGACCGATCTATCAGGCCGACATGGAGGGCATTCTCCAAGGTCTAAGAGGCAGTTTTACCTACACCGATGGGTTTTCAAAGCAAGAGGACCAAACAACCGAGACCATCGCCACGGAAGTGGCGTCACCGTGCCAAGGGGGATGTGAATCATGTTCACTCATTTTCCCCCAAACACCAGGAGTTCTTCGGACTCGTTCGTCTAAAACCCATCGGTGGTTCTGATCGCCGATACGCCACCGACCGTGACGACTCGACGAGCGATGTTCAGCACGTGGTCGATTCCGTGGGGACTCCTTGGACGAAGCTCGTGCCGTGGGGCTCCAGGTTCAGAGCAAGTCTTTGACCCTGCAACTTGCAGCTTTGGCTGAGAGGGATGAGCTTCGAATGCAGGAGGTTCCGCCTTCCACCCCTTTCCTCGAGTGGAAAAGGAGGCTTTAGAGTAGGAACAGCCTAGAGTAGGAACAGCTTGGTGCTTTGAAACAGCTGTGGCCAAGCTGTTTGGTCTTGCTATGTATCTCATGCATTCTTTCGCTAGTTGCGGGGTCATTTGGTAGGGCAGCTGTACTAGCCTCACGATCACCCTTGCTGAATGTGAGGAGAACCTAACACACACACACACATGCACACTGTGGCCGCTTCCATGCGCAATGGCCGAAAATTCAAGGCAAGTTCCATACCTTTCACAACATCCTCACACCTGGTGGGGTGGCAAGACATGCTTCCACAGTGACCCCCGTTTTTCCAAGAATACAATGTTTTGTTCTTTCTCTCTCTCTCTGTTTTGTCAAAGTTGCGATGCACGAGTGGAAAGGCCCATGCAAATTACAGGTGTATTGATCGCTCGACCTTCGAAGGTATTGGGAGCCTGATTGAGCAGAACCCAACGCTGAACGTATCTCAGTTGCTTCGTTTACAGATCTCCGTCGCAGACTTGGGGACCCCGAACGAGGCCCCCTTTCATACAGAAGCTTAGCCGAAGGCTCACTCTCTTGCAGCTTATGGGGGGCTAAAAACTGTTTGCTTCGCTGCGCTGTTTTGTTCTCTCTTCCACAGCGAAAGGAACAGCACCACGGCCACAACAGCCCCGGAAACATGTCTCTCCTGCGCACCTGGAACAATTGTGGGGAGGAGTCCACACCCAACAGAATTTATGGAATTCGTGGTTCGCATGCCACCCATTGTTCGAAGCGATTCCAATCTTTGTCTTATAATACCTAGGGGCCACAACCACAACGGAATATTGTAAACAATGAAATGACCTCAGACCGAAAGGATTAATGAGATAAGTTCCTGAAATAAGTGCAAGATCCAACAGGTGTTATATAGTACACATATTCAGCAAGAAAGTTCGCCCCACTTTGCCCTGCAGAGCTTTGCCTTGGTATTTCTTTTGTTTTAATACTCTTCGTTTCAACCCTCAGGGGAAGGGACATCTGAGATGATGACCTGTTCCATGTGTTCCATGTGTTCGAACGAAGAGCAGACGTTCCGTGTCTTCACCCTACATCCTACGTGCGGTTTCGTACCTGCAGAAGTACCTGCAGGTCCAACAGGTGGAAGATGGTGGAAGGTTTGGTGAAGCACAACATACCAACAGAGGTAGCCAGTGACCGTACGTAGGACCCGAAAGGTCCTAAAGGTGCCCAAGTGGGATAGTCTAGGGATGGATCATGGCACCCGAGTCTTAGAGCTCTGGTCCGACCTGAAGACCTCCAGAGCTGCCCGGCAGCAGTGGGCAGTGGGGTCTCCCCCAAGAGCGAAGGATGACACCCCGGCCAGAGCGAATGGTTCACAGGTGTTTTCCGTTCGACCTCCTGCAGGGTGAAGTCGAAGATCTACCAACAGAGCGGTGCCATGACCCATCCCTAGACTATCCCAGGACCTGGGCACCCCCAGGAGCTTTCGGGTCCTATGTACGGTCACTGGCTACCTCTGTTGGTAGTGAAATGGGTCGACGCATCAACCCGGTGCCCAGCTGCATCCGGTCCGTACGATCGACCTGGTGCCGAGGTGAAGCTGGACGAGTCGCTGGTGTGGTGCCCAAGGGATCGACCCGGGTGGCCCGGGTGGCCCCGCGAGCGCCAGCAGCACCTTCCAGGCGTCAAGTGGGAAAGAGCTCGGTGTTTTTTCAACCCAAACAAAGTGGGTCCTAGGGGTCCTAGTAAAGCCTTCTTCAAGTGGGTCCTATAGTGGTTTCTACTCGTATCTTCTGAAAGTGAAACTACTAGGATCCACGGTCGGGGTGAATGGACACCCCGAATCACCGTTTTTTTGGGTGTCCTGGTATATGGTTGTTTAAAGGTTGAATCATTCAATCAAGGGTGGGCCAGGAATCCCTAGGATGATGCGAAAGGTTTTCTTCTTTTCGGGTTTTCGCCACATGAATCAAGCCTTAGACATTTGCAGTAGGAGTGGCGCCTGGCCGGGCGCCCTGCAAAAGGTTCTTGTTTTTTGTTTATTTTGGAGGTACGTCGGAGTGATGGGGAGGGAGCTTTGTTCGGAGGTGGCTTCCAACCACCATTAATGTCCATTGATTTTAATCGTCTTTATCGTACCGAACGACCATGGTTTTACCATGTTCTACCAATGAAGGATTGGAGACTACAAAGTCAGATCCTTCCCATGTTAAAAGGGTCTTGGAAGCGGATCTTGTCTTGTGTACGTCTCTCGTCCGAAGCACCCTGTGATCACACAGCCACGGAGGCCCCTCCCATCAACCCCCCTGGCCTCCTATGACCTCCTATGACCTCCTATGACCTCCTATGGCCTCCTGGCACATGGATTTTGGAGAGTTGGCAGCCCAGCGACCCTTTTTTCCGGTGGAACCACTTGATCTTCTTCTTTCTCTATTGTGACCCGAAACGGACCTCCTATGGCGTGATCGATCGACTCGGACTGCGCCATCCGAGAAACTCGGACGCCGTTTGGACGGTGAAAAGGAACGGTTTGGTCCAGTGGACGGCGCTCACTCATTTACTCGGACAGGGCGGTCTATGGGTGTGAGAAACGCAGGGGGATGGAGAATAGAGGTCAAACACCAAGCTGTTGGAATTGGTGAAGCGATTTCTATTTAGGATCTCCAAATGCTAGCAACCAGCCACAAACGCTGGACAGCTTGCGGACATGGAATAGAAGGACCTCTTCCACTGAGGAGTGGGGACAAGCTTGGCTAAAGCCGAAAGGGAAGACCAAGAGGACTGATCTCGCACGGTGGCATTCTGAGCCTTGGTTCTTGCACATTGGAAGTTTTAGAATTAGTCTCCTGCCAGTGGTGCTTGTGATTCGTGCTCTTGACGCTATCGAGCAAGAGTGCGAAGGCCAACTCACTGCATGATTCTTCCCATTCTTCCCGAGGTCGTGGGTTCAAAATATATCAACTCACTGCCTTTTCGCACGGATGGCGCACCAGGTTTCGACTTCTGCTTCAGCGAAGATCGCGATCTTCGACGTTGGTACCTTGCCCCCCCTGGCAGTAGACTTTCATGGCCCCGCCAGGAAGGGCGAAGAGAAAGCTGACGCGAAGACAGGCGAAGACGGAGCGTCGGTTCGTTGAAAAACTGGCGACAGGTCGGTATCGGGAGTGAGAGAGAACATGGGCCCCGTGGGCTCTTAACATCTCCTTCCAACGAGCGATCGGGCCACACGGCCACACCAGTCGATGTAGACTTGATCTTTCAACTCCTCCAGGCCTCTGGGGTCTTACACTCCGTTGATGTTGTCTACCGTTCAGTGCTCCATATGTGGGTGGGGGGTTGATTCATTAAGAGTCTCATCAAGAGGTCTGGAAGTCATATTCATCGGTGGGTTTACCCTTCATCGCTCCTTCTTCGTCGCTTCATTGCGGTGTTTGAAGACCGTCTCCTGAGTACTCGGTCGAAGACACCAAGGGGTGAGCTCATCAGCGACTGTGAGGTCACCGTGGGGATTTGGTGGTATAACCGCCTTCTGAGACCAATCGCGGAGAGACACAAGAAATGCAAAAAACTGGTTCACCATCCCTAGGCTCCAAGTATTTTCTGAGAAGGTGTTTGGACCCTCCTGGCACCCACCCCAGTCCCACCTTCTCAGAAGGTACGACTGGAGCCCAAACGGGCATGGACGAACCACCAAGACGCAGTGGGCAGGTCCTTCTTCAGTGGGCAAAGTGAAAACCCACCCGACTCCGAGTGATGCGACCAGGTCTCGACCAGGTCTTGAGGTCTTGGAAATACAGCCGCACCAGAACGGCCTCGACTCTGAGGTTGATCTTAGGTTTCCTTCCCTTCGATTTGCATCGAAGGGACTTTGCAAAGGAGACTCCACAATACTTCGGTTTTCCCTCGCTATAGAGTTTTCTCTTTTTGCCACACTGCAAAAGCTGGGCGTGCACATCCGAAGGTTTCCTGAGTTGAAGCGCACGCCACATGCACCAGGGGGTTGAAGATTAGACCAACCCCACATGAGGGATTTCACCCGACAGGCAAAACTCAGCCGGACCCAACGTATAGTCGTTTTGAAATACTTGCATCCTGTGGACCAATTGTCACTCTCATTGCAAGTTCTTGATGGAGAAAGGGGCATCGGATTGGTTTGGTGGGCCAATCGAATCAAAGACCCTTTTTGGGACGGCATTAGCCGCACACATTAGTAGTTATGGCATGTGATGGCCTAGTCATCATGCCACAGCCGATCATCCAGCTATAGTACAAACAGAGAAGCAAACAGACGCGGATCTCCGAGGGATGGACATCCAATTTGGTCTTGCTTGCTAGCAATGCCTGGAAGCCTGGCTAGCTGCTAGCCGCCTGTCCCCATGACTCATTTTGACCTCTATGGTGGTGGTGGCTTGTAACCCCGAGGTAGGATTAAACAATCGCAAAGTCTGGGTTCAACAGGTCCTCATGACCCGTCATGACCTATAGATCCACCCTCACGTATTGCCAGGCAGGCCACCAAAGGAGCCCGAGCAGGCGTGGGGCCGAATGCTGGTGGGAGAGACTTCTCTATCGTGGGAAGAGACAAGTCCTCAAGCCAGTTGAGAATAATATGGCCGGGGACCCTGGTTGACCAGCGAACACGAACAAAATAGACTACCAGACATGGTTAACCTAACAGGGATTGTGGCTCCAGGTTTTGACACAGCATATGGGACTGGCATATTTAAAGGCTTACGCCTGACAGCCGATGCAAAGCCCATTCTGGAGATGGGGCGCTACGCCCCAACTGGCCACCTTCGATTGGTCATGGCCGTAGCTCAGACAGTTGAGCAGCGCCATGGGGTTCGGGAATCGATCTCGGACCCTCTTGCGGGACCACGCAGGTGCCAGAGACCACGCCAGCGCCGCCCAGCGCGGCAGCGACACCGAGCAGCGCCGCAGAGACAGCGCCGAGCAGGGCGGTCGAAGTAGAGGAGCCGAAAGTGAAGGAGGAAGAGATCAAGGCGAGGTCCGGTGGATGCGCCTGTGGAGCGAACTGGAAGGGTGTCGATCGCGTTCCATCACTCCAGATACAACAACAACAACGACAACGACAACGACAACAACAACAACAACAACACGTCAAGGGTGGCTGTGTTCTTTCAAAATGCCCACCCAAAGCCATGCGGACCATGGCGGACGAGCAGGTTTTAGAGTCTTGCGGTTTCAGGTAGGAACAAGAACGCTACTAGGAACAAAGGGCATCGCTACTAGGAGCAAGGGCCTTACTACTAGGAACAATGTTTGCTAGTAGAAACAATATATAAATAGAAACAGTGTTGGCTTTCACCTCGATGCCCCGCAGGCCGAGCCGACGACCCCGGAGACGCCAGTGGAGGTGATGGACTCGGCCGAAGCCGTGCCGGTGGCGTTGGCGGAGACGGCGGAGACGGCGGAGACCGTGAAGGAGGAACCGGAGACGCCGGAGCGGCTGGGCAGAAGGGCGGAGCAGGGAGTTTGGATGTGTTTTTTTACTTTTTTCGTGGGCATTTTGTTTGGAGGGCGTTTTTTAAGCCAACTTGAGGAGATCCTAAGCCGGCTCCCTGCGCGCGTTCAGCCTAAGAGGTTGCACATGTCAGGGCGAAGGTAAATTTTTGTATAATTTTGTAAATTTGGTAAATGGGTAAAATCGGTAAATTCAGAATTATAGACTTATATAGATGTTTATTTTGTGTGGCATGTTTTCATGTCATTTGTGACGTATGTGCAGTTCCTATTCTCATTCGTTCTCACTTACAAACCTCCGGTACCCCAATACGGAAGGGCCGCGAGGAGAGGGATTGCTGTCCGCCAGTGTGTGTATGGGAGGGCGTTCTTTTTTTTTGGGGGGGGGGGGCTGTTGATGACTGTTGATTTCGGACGATGAAAAGACCGAAGACGCTTTGGTGCTGGAAGAGGTTTTTCTTCCTTTGAAGGAATTGCACCATGGATTGACTTGATCCAACCCCCAGACCATCTCAGACCTATGCTCTCAAAAGTGGGGTGACCCACCACAGACGAATGGCACAGCATGTACATGAGTTCACTCCAAGGTTCCTGGATGACTTGATGTCGACCCATCTTCCACATGGATGCCATGGAGTTTTGGGATTGCCAGGAGACGCACTGTTCACATGCAAAGACATCTAAGAACTCAGGAATTGTCTTATCGGAATCAGATCTTCATTATAGGTGCACTATGGTGCACTACTCTCCAACTATCCAACATCAAGACACGAATCTCTGACACAGATGGTCCATGGTGACTCTACGGCGCCATGACCCCGTCACGGCAGTTCTTTCTTGAGGCGGACACGTGGTGACTCTTCCCGGTTCCTGGGTGAATCCACGTTCGCATGGGGAATCGGAAGATATTATCATGTATATATATATACCCTGGGAGTCAAATACTATAAAAAGAATGGTCTTTAGGGGACCTCAAAGTGAACTTCCTTTACTTCAGCCGGTCAAAATATAGTCTTTGGACTTCTAGGGTATATATATATATATCATATCTTTTTCCCACAAATCATTGGGAGAATTTGTTTTAAACCTGTTTGGTTTTCCCACCTTCCCGAAGCAGCCCAGCTGACCACGTCACATCCAAGCTGACCGTTTTCTTTTTTGTTCGTCGGATCGAGGTGTGTGGATCAGAGCAGGGAAGCTGAGAGCGGATCGCGGGGTCCACTCGACTGACAGCCAGGCCAGGACACGTTGGACCTACCCGGAGGTCAATCTACATGTTGACCAAACCTCCAGGTCTCATCCCCATATATGTTGATCACTATGACATGAGACTCAGGTGGGTTGAGGCAGGTGCATGGCTATGTGAGGGTTCTTCAGGTGTCCACCTTGGTTTGAGAGGGTCCTTTTTGGGGAGAAACTTCGAAGGAACAGGACTTTCTGAGTGGAAAACTCGATCTGATTCTGCTGGTGTGTTTGAGGCATCAAGAAATGCGTGCCTGAGCTGGAGAATCCCACAGAATCAGCCCGATTTAGACTTAGGCATGGGTGGCTTTGACCCAAAGCCAGGATGGCTTCCCAAACCCTCCGGAGACCATTTGGTAGAGGGTACCCTCCCAAGAACCAGAAAAGATGTTTCTTCAAGGCGTGAAGATGAGTGTGAAGATGATTTCCAAATACAAGGCCGCTGGGAGTTGGTTGAGACCCGCCACCACAGCGTGGTGGTCTACAGCACCCCATCGTTATTCCTCATCCGTAGTCACCGTGACAGTCCCGAATGTCCATGAATTCGACCCCTGGGGCCCTGGGACTGGCAGATTTATCTGGGGTGGTTGATGCTCAGGGGTCCATGTAGACACATATTCCAGTCCCATCGGTCCTGGGACCGGGAATTGGAATATTTTGAGTTATGATGATGTTCCGGCCTCCTCATGATGACAACTACAATTCTGTAACTCGAGTGGGACACTCAACCAGCTTCTTTTCATGGTGAAACATGCCATAGGAATCATCGTCCATGAACCAGGAATCATCACCAAGACAAGCTGGAGGAGGAGCATTAGCTTTGAGTGCCTTGAAAGCTTGAAGGTCTGGTTGAGGGAGACATCGTCCGTGCATTTCTGCGATCTCTGAGGTGAGCCCAATAGCAAGGCTGGGACAGGGAGGGCCCATTACTAACCACGTCTCAGCCACACGCACAAAGGAAGGCACTGGAAAGTATTCGGCGACAGACAGGAAATCTTAGGCAACATGTGCTCGGAAGATATCCGAAGTCAAAAGCATATGCTCTCCGCCCATGAAGATGTATCGCAGATGGTCTGTCCTTGATCCCGGAAATATGCACTCACCTACCCATAAGGCGAAAAGGAGTGGGGCCCACCTGAGGGATTAACACCAGATCTACTAGATCTCTAGAGTTCATAGTAATAAACTCTAGTCTTCACTCCATTCGTACATCTGAGACATTTGTTTAGTCTTGGGCCCCACTTGATCCATGATCGGCAGTGTGGAGGCTGGCGTGAAAGCCCGCGCGCGGCGCGGGAAGAAGAAACCCAAGGTCGGGAGTGGGGGTGGCGCAGAGTAAAGTACAACAAATTTCGAGAAACTGAAGATGTCAAACACAGGCTGTTGCTCATTCTGATGAGTACATGGCAGATCCAGTGCTGGGGACATCAAAGGTAAAATCTATCAGAGAGCAAGTTGGCTTTGTGGTCACATGGGTGTGTGTTGAAATAGGGAGACCTCCCAGTTCGACCTCCTTGAAGAAGGAAAATCAACCTGTTTACCTATTGGTTGGGGGTCTCCCTATTAACATACACACCCATATAATGCTATGTAGCCTCAGTAGTAGCCTCAGCTATACATTCTTTCTATTCTTTTTGGTAGCTTCGCTGCGTTCCTGAACAATCACTTTGAGACGAACTTCGATCGCAGCATGGCGCTGCGAAAGTGCTGGCGAAAGGGTTCTGCGGCAGCAGACGTTTTAAGGCACCAACTCCTTGAAGCACCAACCAATTCCGAAAAAATGACATCCGGAACAGGGAGAAGAAGACACAGCAATCAAGACATATCCGTTTTGTGTCTTTTCTCGTTCTGACCTACCTTTCTAGACCTTTCTTTCTTTTCTTTTCTTTTGACCTTTAGACCTGTTTCTGGCCATTTTATTTTTGTTTTTCTTTCTTTAGTTATGTATTTTATTTCTTGCCATTTTGGCCAAAAGAATCCGAACCAAAGGGAGAATGGCTTCGACTGGGTGCTTGGACCACCATGTTACGACCCCCATGTTACGACGGTCTTCGTTGGACTCCACTGGGCTCTGAATGGAGGGGGTTGGTTCTGTCACATCATGGTTCACCTCACATGGTTAGGGGTCTGTAACACCCAGCCCAAGCCTGCACATTCTGCAAAAAAATACGTCACACTTTTACGTGCGCGCGAGGAGAAAGTGGAAGAAGCTTCCCCTCCCGTGGAAGTGAAGCAGGTTGAGCAGGAACAGCGTTGGTCTCGGGGCAGTCGATACCTGGAAACCAACCAACGGTGCCAAGTTTTGTCTGCCGTACTTTGCATCTCAAACCAGCAAAGTATGGCAGAGATTTTGCACAGTTGGTTGCTTTCCATGGTCTTCTTTCTCCGGCGCTTTGGTCTCAGTGTGAACCATGGATTGAGCCCACCAGGAGGAGTGAGACCATGCGGTGAGCCCACTAGGTCGAGAGTAAGACATATTCTTCGGGAGTCGCTGGCTCTTTGTAAGACGTTTGGACTGCCTACCTTTCACCCAGTGACTGGCACCAGGTAGTTTTGGTGTGTTTGACACCAGTGGATCCACTGTCTTGGATAGGACTCTGACCCCTGCAGGAAGGCAGACATCCCGCAATTCCTTTCATCTGAAGCTGGCTGGCCGAAAAATTGCCCTAAGCCCTCAGATGGAAAACAGAGGTTCAGCTTCAGGACTTCTCAAGAAGATATTTTCCAAGACACTGGTGCGATGAAAGAATATTCGTCATTTTCGGGTCAGCTAGCCACCCTCCACCATGAGATTTTCTTCGGATCGAGGCGTTGCGGCCCTTCCCTACTTTGGTTGGTCGCAGCAGTCAGAAGACAGAGGATCTCTCGTTCAGTACATTCTCCCGCTCGATCTCGCCAAAACGGATCGTCCATCGGTTGCGTTCCATCCAATCCATGGCGGACACCGGAAGGAGGTGAGGCAGACACCGACTCCGGCCGGGACACCTAGGGGAAATGCTCAGGCTTCCAAGATGGAAAGTGATTTGATTCATCCCTTCAGGAGCTTTTGGATCAGAAGACCTTTTCCCCCTGCAGATCTGCAGGGATTTTTCTTGCAAAGCATGGCAAGGTCCCGATTCCTAACGAAGACCAAACAAGAATGTAGAGGAGAAACACCATTCAGGTAAAAACGACATGACACAGAAAGTATAGTTCTTTGATGGTTCATGTCATTGTTCTTTATGTCTTCCGTACCAGGAGTCACAAGACGGGGTGGTGTTTAGTCCCATCCAGTGAGTGGATGTGACAGGGGCACCCTGAACCTCCATGGATAGCACCCCCGTCGAACGTGACTGCTGGTACCCTAAGATCTTTCAGAACTCCATAGATCTTTCTTAACTCGTGTGAGTTGAGGACCTACCACTTCACCGTGTATCTGCAGCTCTTTTTTTCTTTTTCGGAACGTTTCCGAGTCAACTCCCGAAAGCCGTTCGAAAGGCGTCGAAGGAGCAGAAGAGCAGCACCGCGACCGCTCACCGATCCGGAGCAGCACCGATCCGGAGGCGGTTTGGGTCTCGTTCGTCCGAACCGCGTCTCGTCGGTTCGGAGAGACAACGTCCAAGCCACACAGGTCCAACGTCCCAGCACCGGTTGACCTGCACCCGGTCACCATACTTGAAAGCTGTTAGTTAGGGCCCAACACCCACCCAAACCCTCCATCATGTCGGAGACATGGCAGTGAAGGTGCTGGTCAATGGTCATGGACCTTGGATTCACGAAGTTCTCATGACATTCTCCATCACTCTGAATTTCGTCGTGAAGTGGAGAATTCACAAGAAAAACATGCATTGTTGGAGCAAATTGATCACCCCGTACCTTCCAGGTACCTATTGGTACCTGGTACCTTCAGGACATAGACATGTCATTGTCGCAGGTCTCTGTCTCAGATCGTCGGAACATGACATCAGAGTAGCCTAGTAGCGATACCAAGTCAGCTGCTGTTTCTCTCTTTTCTTAGTTTTGCATCATATCCCAAGGTCACCATGCACATATATACGCAAAGTATATTGTGGGAACACTACCGAGAATCGGCCTCATAATGCCTCATACCATCGAACATGTGTTCGACAAAAAGGAAGCCAAACACTCCATGGAATGCCATATACCCCCCTGGCACCGCCCCTTACTCACCATCGGCCAGTCGTGTCGCCGTCGCGCCCTGCGGCCAGGAAGTCGGACCGAGAGGAGAAGCGACCGCACGGTCCGCACGCCCAGAAAGGACCGGAGCCACTCGCGCCACGGACGCGTGGGGTGCGACGGAGAGGGGTGGAGGGACGGAGCGGAAAGCGTGGGTGGCGGACTAGTTTGGAGTCGAAAATAGAGAAAACACGGGGTAAACGGCTATATACCAGACACTCCATGTATACCTATCTACATTGACCCCTGAAACCACCCCAATGTATGGCAATATGCCATACATGGAGTGTCTGGATAGGTTGTTCCGTGATTTTCTCCAGCCTTTTCAACCTGGCGATGGGCGGAGAGTCTCTTGTGCAAACATGTCCAACAAACAGCAGACTTCTTAGAACAGACACCTGGCGATGGCCCGTTCGTTGTGATTCCAGGAGAGGTGGAAGCTCTGATTGAAGCCCTCAAAGCAGGGCCTTTAAAGGACTATCCCTTGGTTCCGCCGACAGACCCAGAGCTGCGAACCTTGGTGGGCTGGGACGCCCAGAGAAGCGCCGGGAGAAGCGGCCCGGGCGGCCCGGGCGGCCAGGGCGGCCAGGTTCCAAGGTGAGGAGACGCGGCAAGAACACGTCAAACACGTCCAGTTCGAGGAGATTTGTTTTCATGATATTGACTCATTTGGCAGTAAAGGACGTGCCGAACAAATGAACATGGGTCACCATATATGGTCAAACGTCAGATGGTGTCGACGCACCTCGCAGTCGTCGATGCACATCGCTCCACATCATCCGGTTCAGTCTTCGACTCGCCCACGGAAGGTTTTTGTGGATTGCATCTGTTTGGCCCCCCGAAATACTCCCCCAAGGGATGGGAGTCATCCAAAAAGCTACATGGTGTTCAGAATTGTTGCATGCTCTGGAAGTCCAAACTCTATTCTTTAACACAGTTGAGGCTTTTTTCCTTAGTAAAGCAATGGTGGTTCGGTCCAAAACCCTCCAATTTATGGTGGGCCAGGAAGCCTAGGGATATCTTAGACCACCCCTCACGACATGTTTCGCTGCACTGGCGGGGAGGGCGACTCTGGCCGAGCCACTCTCGGAGTCATGTCCATCCTTCCTTCAGCAAACTCCCTCGTCCGAGCCACTGCCCCGCGAGCCACTGGGCGACTCGGTGAGGCAACGGTTCAGCGCTCCTGAGCAGCGACCCCAAAAAGGTGCCCCGGATGGTCTCGGCGGATGTGCGTGGAGGGCGCGCGGGGTGTCCATTCTCGCGGCACGGGAGAGACTGGAAGATGTGTGAGGCGTGGATGTATGAAGGATACCTCGAACTTCCAACTCTGCCAAAGTTCAGCCGCTCATCGATAAAACCAGCAGAAAGGCAAACATTCGGAAGATCCATTGGAGATTGACAGAGTAAGACATTAACCCTTTTTGACGTAGTTGCTTGAACCGCCGGGAGATGACCTCATCTTCTTAAGATGGTGGACATCACCAGCCGTCCTTCGGCCCCAAGTCTTGTCATGTCACTCACCAGCCCCAAGCCTGACCAGTCCTGTTGGTTGCGCCTCGACCAGCTTGTTGTTGGACAAGGCAGACTTGGCATCCTTCGCACGCCTGCGCCAGGCATTAGTCTTCCTGAGACTGGCAGGGCGGAAAGGATACCTGCCAGCCTACTTGCCGACCCGGCTTGGTTGTTTGCGTTTGCGTTTCAAGACTGCAGACCGAGCTGGATGTCCAGACTTGGGCTGCTGAGTCTCAACTTAGAGTTCAACTCAAGAGTTGGGGATTCCTTCCATGCAAGAATGGAATCAGGACTTGAAACTTGGACTTAGGTCTATAGCAATCCCTCTGAAGTCATTCTGTCTGAGCCCTTCACAAAAGGCGACTGACTGACTGGACCCTTGAGAAGGACGTCGTTCCGAAGAACCGCGCGACCCGCCAGGCTCTTGGCGCAACATGCTCAGCTCACGAAGGATGACGGGCTCCTCATCGAGAGCCTTTGCGTCGGTCACCTCGGTTCGCGCCGCGAGGAGAAATCGAGTAGACGAGGGAGGCACCGATGCACCTGGGGAGCGGGTTTGCGGATGCTCGGAGTTGCTTCGATGAAGCTCAAGGATTTGGAGATGATGCTGGGATGAGCAGAAACTTGAAACCACGTGCCTTTTGGAGCCCCTTAGGAGTAGCTGAGTAGCATACTTGCACTCGGCTGAAAATCAGTAAGTGCATTGTACACAGGAAGGTGACGTGACCCGTGCCCGGGGTATGCGGATTAGCATGGATGAGCAAGTCACCTGATGTGACTCAGGTGGATGGATGACGGATGGATGACGGATGACAGTAGCCAGTGGAATAACACACAATGTGACTCTTGAACGTTCGAAATGTCCGGTGAATGCCACCGTTGCTTCGTACCGAACGCTCTTCGCACCGAATGCTCAGACGCTCTTCATGTCCCCTGATGTGAAGCAGCTGCCGAAGAACTTGCTGAGCAATTGCGCGCTGCTTGGGCGGAGAAGTTGGAAGACCGGCCCTTGGCCCTTGGCCACCTTGGTTCATGCCCTTGGCCACCTTGGCCCTCCAATTTGTGGGCCCGGCCGGGAGAATTCAAGAGAGAAGGCCCGCTTCAAGCCCTTGGCCCTTCATTTTTTTTGGGGGGGGGGACCTGGCCCGAAGCACTGTTGGGGAAGTCCTTCTCTTTTTGGTACTCGTCGGGTATCTGGATATTTTCCGTGGATTCTGGGGCAGTAGTTACCTACTGTATCCTACTGTAGAGGGAACTGGACAAGCAGATGTTCTTTCGGGCCTAGGGTCAGGTGCTTTTCGGATTTCTGCTGGGGGCCTGTGTTTGCCGGGGCCGTTGGCATCGATCACACCGACTGAGTGGGGTGTTCTGCACCCTAGTTGAACCACCATTGAGACAAACATCGCCTGAATCCCGAATTCCACAGAATGCAGCAGAGTCTCGTAAGAAAACGAAGACCAAAAACGATTGATCGCAACGATCTTTCCGAAACGTGCAGAACGAACTGCAGCTGTTCTGCTTCGTTGAAGCTGACAGCGCTCTCGCCTCGCGCAGCTCGCTTGGCCGCGTCCTCGCCAAGGATGCAGCTCACCGCCGTCCTGAGGGACCCCAAGAACCAGCAGGAGGCGTTTTGACCGAACGGCCGTCAGGTGGAGGGACGAAAGAACGGACAGGGTGGGTGGGGATGGTGATGTAGACACTCTTGATTCATGATGAATGAACACCCCTAAGAGGTTCTACACTCCAAGCGTGGGTTTCAGAGTTATTGAGTGTATAATGCATGACCTTCCGAGTTAGCCATTGGTCCACTTGGTTTTACATGGTGCATCTCTTTCATTCAGGGAGTCATCCTTCCCGAAAACGGCTTCGTCAACGTTGTCTCCTTTGCGCACTTGCGGCACTTGCGGCTTCAAGTGGACGGCCCAGAAAGGAGAACGAGGAATCCAGGGCCAGCCGTCCTTGGGATGTGAAGACTGGAAGTTTGCAAGAGATCGATACACCACCCGACGACCTGCCGGGTCACCAATGGTTTGACCCCTGAACGGGAGAACCACAGCCTCTTCAGGAGACCTATAGAATACATCTAAGACAATTTGGGTGCTGCTAGAAGTGAGGCTTCCTCTGTCTGCTTCATCCAACCTGGCTGTCCAGCTCAACTAACCTGCTTGAGTAGTGACGACTTGGATGACCAACTCCAGTAAAACATGAGGTAAAATCATTGACCTATAAGAAGTCCGGGGGCTTTAGAACCGACCTCTGCGGTGTTTGTTTAGTCTTTTCTTCTTTCCGATTTGCCACCGACGGTGGCGCGCGCCCGGGCGGATGCCCACGAACTCGCGCGCCACGGACGGGGATCCATGGATGTGACCCTGGAACTCTGGGTGAATCCCCGACGCCATGGGGGGATCGTGTCCTTTTTTTCAATTTCTTTGGGTTCCGGTTGGGTTCAGCGCATTCATTGCATTGTAGAACGGAGAAAAGAGAAAAGCTACCGAAGTGAGCGATATTATGAACATCCACAGATACCGAAGCGTCTCCAAAATAATTCCCTTCATGTTTCGAATTTCTGACGATTTGCTCGAGTTCTTCACCAGAGCTACTTGTCGCTGCCACCCCCCCCCTCACCAACGCAGGCGGCCGCGCGCGCGGCCGACCTCGAGGTCATCGCGAAGGATTGGCTGGCGGTGCCCAGGATTCGCGAATCCGGGGGCGCTTTTCCCGGCCATTCGCACAAAGGACACTATACCAGGGCCTGCCTGGCCATGGGGTGGTTGATGGACACCCCGAATCGCCTCGTTTCGGAGCTACTTTTAGACACCCCTTAAGGAGGCCCACCCAGGTATAGGTGAGTATGAGTGAGACTCCAGGGCAAGATGAATAGTTGCGGTGTCTTGCTTCCATCCAGAGTCAGTAATATGTCTGTATTTCAAGAGTGAGACTCCCCCTTACGAGTCACATGGAGTTGGGTGATAGTCGTCGTCCCATCCAGGTGTGGGCCGTGGATGTGTTCTGGGGCAATCCCTATTCTTCCTCCAGTAAGCACCCTGTCCTCTCTGGAACTGCTGGTACTGGGACCCTCCTGTCGGGGTGTCTATGTAAATAGCCCCTTAGCTGTTAAGGAGTGTCCATTAACCACCCCGACTGGGGGGCCTGGTACCACTAGGAGGGGTCCCTTCTCCATCTCCTTGGGGGTCGTGGTACAGTAGGTTCCTTAATTTGTCGACGACTGCGCTCGGGCGACCGGTCGACGACGGCTGGCGCACTCCCTTGTTGTTTGGAAGCAAAGCGGCTGGTCAGACCGCAGAGCCCCGGACGAGGCCCATCATGAACATGTTGAAGCTGCAAACGCCAGGCCGGTGAGGGTCTTTGGGTTCAAGCATGGGGCAAGCTGTGTGAATGAATCCAGGACAGATTCCAGTGATGCCGTCCTTGTTTTCGAATCCCGCGCGTCGTGGATGATCCTCGCGTTCCATATGTAAAAGCAGTGACACATGAGGCGCCTGAGTACTAACTTATATAGGTGACACTTTCGGGGGTGGAAAGTCCTTCTCCGTGGTTCATCCTTTGAGACGATCATGAACACATGGACGCCCATGCGAGCTGCTCCGGAACCCTTTCTTGGAGCAGCCATGCAGCAAAACGCATCTCCAAAGGTTTCACAGTCCTCCTCTTGTTTTCAAAGACACGGCAAAGTCCACCCCCAAACCTGGGTTTTGGGGGCAGAAATCGGTCCTGTTTCGTCTCCACAGGGAAGCAAACCACCCACCCCCACCCCTTCCTGTCGCGCCGGACGCCGGGGCGCCTCGCCGGCGGAGGTGGGAAGTCTGCCTCGAAGCAGGTGGGGTGGGTCGGCGCGATGAGGCGGAGGATTTGGAGGGTGGGTGTTCTAGTTTGGAAAAGAAGCTTCGGTTTAGGGTGTTTTCTTTTGGTATGTATATGCATGAAGGCAACGACAGCCGTTCGGAGATGTTGGCAGATATAGTTTGTTTATGTTTGTTTGGGTTTGTAGAGCCCAAGAGTTTACTCTGCTTGCGCAAAGCATCGGAGTTTGCTAGCGCCATCTTGTGCCGCATTGCACACAACATGTCCCTCTGCTTGGACCGGAGGCGAAGACACAACAGGCGCAAGGGGACCGTCGTACTTTTGGCGCAGGGGGTGTTCCTAATCCTGAAGTCCTTCAACTGCCCCATGGAGGAGAGTTCTATCTTTTTCCTATGGGAACTTTGAAGCTTTGCCCTATAGAAGTACCAATTACTTATACTAGTCCGCATTCCAGTACCCTACCAAAAGTATCTAAAAGCATCTAAAAACCATATTGTAACGAATTGTATAGTCTTTAACTCCCAAGATCTGGGACAAGGATCTTGTCCAAACCAGTCCTTCAGTTGCAAGTTCCAAACGAGCTCTCATGAAGTTCGACATGTCCACCACCGGCCACTGATCTCTCCCCTGTTCCATCGTCCGACCTTGCCAACCTGACGTCCCTGAGGGCCGGGTGGACTTCCAGCAGATCAAGGAAGCCATGGTCACACCCAAGGCATCCGCCGGTCGTCTGATTCAATGCGCCGCCGCCGCAGTGGGAGAAAAAGGAAGAGAACCCTTGGGTCTCTTTGTACCTGAATCTTTATAGAGGAATGTCCCGCTCGCCATGCTCGCCATCATCCACAAGATCCACAATATACATGTATACAGACCCTGGGAGTCAAAGGACTATAAAAAGAATGGTCTATTTAGGGGACCTGAAAGGGCACTTCCTTTACTTCAGCCAGTCAACATAGAGTCTAACTGGACTTCTAATGCAGAGTCAAACCATGTCAAACTCTGTTTCTGTCGAAAGCATTGCGGGGAAGTCATGTTCGGCGCATCCGGAGCGGTCCCTTGCAGCGGAGCGCAGGTGAGCCTGTCCACGAAGACGGCAGAAGCGTCCGCGAGGACTTCGAAGCCGGTCAGAGGTGGGCCGGTCAGTGAAGTCGGTCTCCCTGTCTTGCCCTTTTCAAGAGAAGAACCGACAGAAGTCACCCGACAGCGTTCCAAGACCATATATTCTAACAGTGGTTGATCTGGTGTTGTATGATGTTGTATGTCTGAAATCCTGGTAAACTAAGAATGGTTCTCCGGTGACTATGTATGGTGGGCCAGGGCCAGCCTTTTTTGCTTTGGGAGAGTCGCTTCTTCACCAGCCTCGACCAGCCGCGTCGAGACCAGCGTGACTTCTTTGGGTGACCGACTTGGAGGGCTCCTTTTTCGCCCTGCGCAGCGAGCGTACCTGGCAGGGACCTGGCAGCAGGTTCGTGGGCGCTGGCACCTCTCGGTGCAGGTGCTTGTTGGGGCGTCGACAGGAACGTTTTTATTGAAGACGCTTCGCGTCGACAGCCGCCCACACCGAGAACAGAGGGGAAGTAGCCATTTAGGCGCCAGGTTGGGGACAAGTGCAGCCATCTAGGCGCCAGGTTGGCTGTCTTACGGCTGCGTTGGAGCATCTTGGGGTCAACTTCGTCTACCTTGGAGCCCATAATGGTGATACAACTTCGGCCTTGCCAAAAGCCATCCAAAAATACACCTCCAAAGCGCTCTCCCCAGTGGCCCTGCAGCCGAGCAAGAATCAATGCAGCAACCGCCCCAAAGCACAAAAACTCCCCCAAAACGCCTTGCAAGCACGATTTACCGAACAATTATCCAAACATGTACCCCTAAAACGCTCTCCTCGGTGGCCCTGCAGCCCAACCATAGCCGCGCACGCGCGCAAAAAAGTCCCCCCCTAGCAGAGCTATTTGCACAGGCGGCAGAGCTCAAGAGCCCCAATAGCACGCCCTGCACCGACAAGCGGTGTGGGCGGATTTTGCGGCAGAAAAGGGTGATGTTGATTTCTCCAGGTTCCTGGTGGATCCCCCTGGCATGGTGTCTTCTATTTTTTATCTTCAAGCAAACCATTGGAAGGAGATAAACCAAGCCATGCACTTTTGATGCCACGATCTCTTGGACCATGAAAAGAGATCGGCAATCCGCTGGGCTGGGGGTGTGGCTGCTGCTGGGCCACACAGCTAACGCACGGATGGGGGTCGTATGTGAAGTGATGGAACAATGGAATTCTGATACAGGGGTTTCAGAGTACATGGCACAACCCCCATGATGTCCTTTACATGGGGGTCCATTTCAACCACCTCTTGGGGTCTGTGCCATCTACTCTGAAGCCACTATAAGACTTGTGCAGCACGACGGCGAGTCAGGGACATCTTTGGTTCTTCGCCTTTCCAGGACCTTCCAAGTTCGGTGCTTTTGGACACCCTTAAAACCTGTAAGGGGCTATTCATAGACACCCATTGGAGGGTCCTGGCAGGTATACGTAGAATGATGTAGAATGAGTGTCAGCATGTCATGTTTCTACCATTTTTTTTTTCGACAAGTTAAAATATCTTCCCTGCTTGTCCCTTTGGTCGCTCAACTGGGACCATTCTGGAGGCACAAGTCCTCAAGTCACACCTTTTGCTTGGGATCTTCGACTGGACGCAGATTCTCTTTCTTAGCAGCCAAGCGCCATATCCAGTCCTTGCCTCATCCTGCTTCCACTGGTTCAGGGAAAACCTTTCCGAATGGCAAGAGCGAAGGCAGTGGCCTCCACTTAGTTTCCGGTTGTTGCTGTTCTTGCGGTTGTTTTCTTTTTCTGGTGTGGTCAAAGTATTCAGAGTTAGCCAGCAAAACAACCAATTTTGACATGCATGAGAGCTGTTCTTGTGAGTGAAAAAGATGGAATCCATGTCCCACCAGCTTCTAGTATTTCATAATATTTAATTCCTGGTCCTAGTCGTGTGTGGTGCCAACCACCCTTTTGAAGAACACATGGATCATGCAGAACCTGTGACTCTCCCAATTCTGGGCTCAAATCACATCCCATCTTCTTCCAGTCAGATGGATTTGGCACGAAGAGAAAACCACCCTCCATGGCGAAGACATCCAAGACGGAGCTTCGCCATGCTTCGCCCCGACCTTCCCTCGCTGCTTCGCCCCGAACGACCGCTCGACCTCCGTGACAGGTTCCGCAGCTGCAGGATGTGTCCACGGCCACGAGCGGTCCTCAGGGAGCCTTCTATTTGAGCGAAGAGCGAAGGTGAAGCTTCGAAGGTTGAAGCTAAAGAAAGAACACATCGTCATCATCATCATCATCATCATCATCAACAACAACAAAACAACAACATCGTACATCATAAATCTTCCAACTATGCAACTTTGCTTGGTGTTTTTTTTCCTGTGGATGAACAGACCAGACATTCAGAGAAGATGGGAAGATCCACGTATCCAGGTCGATCTCCGACCATAGCGCCCGTGACTGGGCGATTCGCGCGGTCGCAGGTTGGAGGTCAGCGAAGCCGATGTGCGGCTCAGCGACCGATCTGGGCATGCCTGGCTCGGTGTTGGGAGAGAGGATCTGAGGATGGGCAGGGTGAACCGTGATGTTTTTCATTCTGTTGCCCTGCAGAGGGCCACAATGGACTCTCAAGAGCACTGGGTTGGTCGGTTGAGACCACTGGGTTGGTCTTCGGAACATGGGTCGCAGCCGGCGGGGTGAGTGTTCCCAAGGCCTGGCTGCAGCAGGGGGTTCAAACCAGGAGAGCCGACCCGTGATAGTTTCGGATATTTATATGTTCAACCCTTACTTGGGGATGAAGAAGGACCGTCTGACTGTGCTATTGTTCAAGTGGGTTGAAAACACTGAAGAGACACGCATCGGTTTTTGACTGAAGAGACACGCATCGTTTTTTCGGTCTGCTTTTCGGGGTTGGGCGGATCAGATGATGGGGTGATGTTCCCGTTTTTTTGGGTCACATCCTCCCGGTTCCTGGGTCACCAATTGAGACGACCCTCTAGGGCCCAACAACCCTCTAGAGACCTGTTGCAGGATGCTGGTGAGTTACCACCTGGGTTTTGCACATGGGTGCAGATTAAGACCTCCCCTCCAAAAAAATTCAGAACCAGTATGCTCCGACATCTCCATAGTTATCCATAGTCTTTTTTGCATCAGTCAACATCGGTTGTAGAGGACAAATAGTCTTCCAGCCTGGTCCATTTTCAGGTTCTATGTCTTTCACATTCGCATGGCTTGACATTCTGCATCTGGGAGACCCGGGTCTCCCTGCCTACCTGCACTGCGCGACCGGCGACCGGCTTGCAGCCAGTGCAGAGCCTGCTGGTCAAGTATGAAATAGACAACAACATACAACAATTGTACATCAATATACAACAGCATAAAAGTCAAACACGCAGAATGAACAAACTGACATAATCATGTTGAAACACTTCGAAAACCGTGGGTCTTTATCGTCCAACTTTCGCGAGACAGATGGCCCCACCCCATGCCGGTGTTGGCATTGGTTTTGGGAGGCGCTAGTGCGTCAGGGTAGCCGGCGGGCAGGGAGTCCACCTCAAAAGAATGCATAGCTCTATCACATCTATAACTTGACTGGAACACTGAATTGAACATGCATGACGGCCTGCAGATATCTGCAGTTCTTTTTTGTTTTTAGAATATGTGTATATAGCCCAACTTCAGTCTTTTCATGCAGTGCGCGGAACTGGCCCTTGCGTTCCCCAGTGGAAAGAGATAGCTGGAGCTGGAGCTCAGCTTCAAAAAAGAGCAAGCAACAGCTGGCCACGAAGCATCAGTGACAACCTGAATGATATTATGATAGACTTGGGACGCCGCGTGCCGGAGAACGGTGTGTTGGAGAACTGACTCGGGCTGACCAGCCTCGTTTTATGAGAGTGGCTGAGCCACACCGCGAACACCAAGTCATGAAGAAAAAGAATGAAGACTAGCCTTTTATAGCCTTTTACATCCTATGGAACGACACTCCCGGTGGAAGCTGGACATCGATTCTTCGGTCCTTCCCGCCGGCCGCTGCGGCGGGAGGCCAGCGCCCCATCGATGGCTCGGTCTCGCTCCCGGGGGAGAGAAGAGGTGCGCCGCGGGGCGCCGGGGGTCCGGTCTTCGGGGGCCGGGGGGCGGTGAAGAGGGCGGTGAAGGTGGATAGAAGATGGAAGAGTCTGAGAAGAGTCTCGTTTGTTGGACCCTTGGGCCCATAGAAGTGCATCTTGGAAGCTGATTACTGTATATATATATATATAGAATTTGTATAGTAGATGGTGCCACAGAATCACAAAAATTCAAACTCACCCAATCGAACAAAAAGAAACAGCTGAATCCCTCAAATCCGTGAGAACCATTGAGAACGAGGGATATGAGACCGTGACCCAATCGCCATGTTGGCCCTTGTGGGATACATGTATGACTGTATGACCAATCCTTGCAGCAGAGAATGCGAAGATGCTACTCCCTCCAAAGGACCGTTTCTTTTAGGTCCCTATACTACTGGAGATCTACTGCATATCGATTCAATCTATTTCCAACGGTTAACAGATGCTACTAGGGTACTTCTGATCTATGATTGGTTGCTCTTTGTTCAGACTCCTCATTATTTTCCCACTAAATGAAGGGCTGGCTTTCCTCGCCAGCGACGCTTGATTGCCTCTAAGGGCTCCAGAAGCTCCAGCAGCTTCAGCAGCACTTGCACCGCTGAGCCCATTGAGTTGAGAACACCAGGCAGTCAGATGAGGAGAGCGACCAACTCGATTCGATCGAGTTCAGTGGTTTCCACCCCCCCCCAAGCGACCCTGAACACTTGAAGAGACTGGTCGTTCCAAGGGTATATGGAGGAATTTTTGTGTGGTTGGTTCGGTGAAGTTAGACATGCACAGTAGACATCACTGGGAGAATGAACACAGACCTGCGCACATATGGACCCCCAGTCTGTTTAGTCTGATTTTTGGCAAAACCCTGGTTCCAGTGGTTGGAGGATTCCATGTATACAAACATCTCCGCTAGTTGGGTACTGCGGATCGAGAAGAACCCGGCCTTCGATTCGACCTTTCGGCCTGGTGAACTTTAGTGTACAAAACTAAATGGCCAGGAACTATGAAGTATACAAACTCAATGGCCTGGTGAACTTTAATGGAACTTTCATACTTCATGGGCCTTCGGTTCGACCTTTCCTTAATTCGCTTTTTTTTGTATGAAACTCAATGGCCAGGAATCCATGTGCGATTTCGCTTCGCACACCCCAAGCAATGGATGACACATTCCACTGATTTAAACAAGGTGTCGAGTCCTCACACCTGGGTCAGCATGACAGATCTGGTGGAATAGGCTAAAACTGTATGTTGCATCCAGTTACAACGGTTCGGTACACCATGGTACAACACCCCATACATTCTCTACTTGTAAAGACCTTGACTTTAGTGATATGTAATGAATATACATGTAGTACTGATCGTACGGTAATTTACCATTTTATGCATCTGACAAGGGGACATTTACATCAGGCACACCCCTTCTGAAAATCTTTGGACCGGTATATACCCTACACCTCCAGTCGTACCTCCTCAGAAGGTATGACTGGACCCTCCTGGCACCCACCCCACACAGATACTGGCGATACCTAGAACCTCATTAGGCAATAATTTCGCCCAACGCCATTTAGGCAGAAAATTCAGCCCGTTTTTGCAAAGAACGCCTAAGCTACAGCCTCGAGGGTCAAAAACGCCGAGGCACAATCACATGCATTCTTACATGCAGGAGGCAGAGCCAGAATTTGAATGACAAAAATTGAGAAAACAATCGCCTGCCACTTGACGCTAATCCCCAATCTAAAGTTGTTGAAACTCATGTCTCTCACTCCCCCCAAAAGGCTACCATTCCGTTGTCCACCCAACTACTGATTGTAGTGAGGGGGGAACGGGCAAGAACGCCTAAGTAACGGGCAAGAACGCCCAAGTAACGGGTAAGAACCTACGCAAAAAGATATTAAAGCAACTAAAAACCATACAAAAGAGATCAGAAGAGAAACATTAAGTTAATTCCTGACAAACAAGTGTACCTCGCTATGAAAGTTCCTGGAATCAGTGGAGGGTGGATCCTCATGTATTTGAGCAATGCCACCAAAAGGACAAGAACGCCCAGAGGGGGGCAAGAACGCCTACAGGGGACAAGAACGCCTAAGCACGGGCAAAGTCGCCTTTACCCACAATAGAAATTTCTGCCCAAGAAGAGGTTATAGGTATTTACTTCAACAATGGACCTTGTATACACCGCGCTTCTGGGTAGAAGGGGTGGCGGACGCCTTTTCGAGGCGAGTTGGAAAGCCCAGAGGGCGCGGTGACGTCGAGCCCGTCGAAGACGAGGGAGGACGGGGAATGACGGCGGTGGGAGGGACTGCTGCATTTTCTGGGTGGATTTGGAGAAGTGAACGTTTTTGCTACCTGGCAGGATCTTCCAGAAAGTGACATGGTGCAGATTTCTTTGGGTGTGCCAGGGACCTTGGCTACCCGTGGCACGCGCCAGCATGCGCGCGCAAAAAAAAAGCGCCCGAGGTCGTGCGTTGCGTGCCGGCTTCGCCAGGGATGTTTGTTCCACCAAGACATTCCAGCGGAGGCAGGTGTCGTCTCGAGGGCCGTCAGAGATCTCCAGCCAAGAAGAGAGGACTGGACAAGCATGTGGTGCCGAGTGGTGCAAAGGGCCCGCAGACTGGTCAAGGGTCTTAGAGTCTTAGATCTGATCCTGCTTCGTCTAAATCCTAGAAGTCCGAAGACTATCTTTTGATAGCAGGAGCCACAAGACGGGGTGGTGCTTAGTCCCTAAGTGAGTGGATGTTCTGGGCCTAACCTCCATGGATAGCACCCTCCCGTCTTGTGACTGCTGGTATATTTGACCGACTGAAGTAAAGTAAATTCCTGAACTCGGGTCACCTGAAGACCATTCTCTTTATCGTCTTTGACCTCCCAGGGTCAAGTATCAAGGCCATCCCACTTCGCATCCCACTGCTACACAAAGGTTCCACGGTGCACCATGGATCTCCATGAAACCACGCTCCTCCATCCCGCTCCCACCGTCGCTGGATGGCCGACGTTTCATCGACCTCCGATTCTGACCGCCACGCGGGCGGGGAGCGCCATAGAGCCATCGCCACGCCACGCCACGCCTGGCGAGCTCTGAGGTTCAGAGGTTCGACCGAAACCAAGTGGGTTTAGATGGACCCCCAGATGTCTGTTCGACTCACATGTCTGTTCGGCACGCGGCATCCACTCTGAAATCACTTTTAAGATGTTCCAGAAACCAACCAGACTTCCGTGACGGAAGCACTGCCCAATCGACTCTTTGTGGATGTGCGAAATGCTAGATCGACACATTCTTCCCACATCTTCCTAGCATCACAGAGTTGTCTTCTTGGACAAATCTGCATGCCATTCCAACTCTTCATGTCTCCCAAACAGTGTCGTCTCCAACGTCCTAGTTGATCACCTGCCCGATCTTTTTTGGAGATTGGGGACGCCCCACTCAAATTGGGTGCATTCAACATGTTTAGAAACTGTCATCGACCCGACCAGAGCGTCGACGATGCGGCTGTCATACACAGCTAAGAGAGATGGAACAGGTGGAAGATTCGCTCTCCGGCCTCATCCCGAGTGCCAAGGTGCTGGTGTCCCAGCGACGGTCCGCACGTCAAGTGGGCCAGGCGGCGCGTCCTTGGTGTCCGTTGTTGAAGAAGAACACGGTTGGAGAACAGACTCCCAGACACTCCATGGGACTGCCATAGGACTGCCGCCCCATTGACCCCTCATGGCCTACCCCTGGCCTGATCGGCATCTACGGCAGTCCCATGGAGTGTCTGGGACTTGGGATCTCATGCTGGGTGTGTTTTTTAGCGGAAGACCTCCCAGGCGTTCCGACCCCTTCCAGGCCAATAGGCCCTTGAAATACGCGTAATCCGCTGGTGATGAGATCTAACAGCCTCAAAGTCATTGCAGGGGACTGGTACATCGGAACATCCTCCAGTTCCGGAGGTGTCTTCCGCTTGGGCGAAAGGTGCCTCGGGTGATCCGTCTTCTGCGAATCCCTGGGCAGGGCCTGACCGGGGGAAGAATTTTCCATGGGTTTTGGTCCATGGCTTCCAGAAAATAAGCCTCCAGAGACTCAGAGACATCAAAAAAGGCAAGGAATTCTTCTCTGTCCCACCCTCTCTCTCTCTTGGCTCCGACTCTTCTCCACGTGGAGCTCCGATCGTGGCAGGGTGGTGGCGGCGCTTCAGAAAGGCGCCTTTGAGGCGCGGGTGGAGGAGTTCGATGAGATCTGGAGATCATGGGGTGAAATCAGACCTCATCTCCAGTGATCTGATAGTCATCTCCAGCGATCTGACGAACTTGATGAGGTGGAGAAGTGCCAAGAATGCAGACGTGAGCTGAACCTGTGGATCCCATCACCTGATTTCAGCAGACAAGAGTGGGTTCTGATTTTTTGTGATGCAACTATAGGAGAGGTGTTCGCACTAAAGGCATTCGTTTCAGCTTGTCTTTCGTCCGCAGGCGCTCCTGGTGTCGCCAGATGACAACAAGGGCAAGGCGACCGAGAGCAGCTAGAAGACTGGTTGGATGAGGAACACGTGGTGTGCATCCAAACAGGAAGACATCTCCCAGCTATGTTCCGTGTTGGGGGGTCTCCATGGGGTCTCCTTATTTCAATTTTACATAGCTTTCTCACGAGGAGCATTGATAGGGTACTCAAAGAGTTGAAGCCCGACATGCGCGGTTCCAAAAGGCTTTGTTTCGTGAACATAGCTTTGAGTTTGGTGGCAAAGGTTTGTTGGCCGCTATTGTTCCTATGGCACAAGTTTTGACTAGGAAGAGACAACAGATCATCAGACTCTAGGTGTCAGGCGGTGTTGCTGCCATGAGCCGCTGGGGCAGCAGTGTTCATTCATCGTGGGGCGGCTGGTCTTGGAACGAGGATGCGTGGTCATCAAGTTGGCGGTGGGGGGGGTAGTGATGACTGGTCTGGCAGGTGGCATGAAGGCGGGTTGTCCTCTCATGCAGGTGGTCTTGCCCCTGCTGCTGCTGCTGCTGCTGATGTATGTGGTCTTACCCATTTTAATTCGTCAACAAAGTGGTCAAAGGATTTCCCTGCCGGCCAGTTTGTGTCAGCGTTTGTGCCGCTGAGCTTGAAACAGTTCAAGGACGAGTCGTACAGACCAATAGTGACATTCATTGAAGAGGAACTGGGTTGCCACGTGTCGTTTAGAAAAAAGGATTTTAAAGATGGCAGGAAACGGAGCCAAGTCACGGTGAAGGGGCTGCAGGCTCACAGTGCGTGGACGCACTTGATCACGGAGATCAGAGAGTTGGAGAAAGCCGGCAAGATCGAGGGTAGCCCCATCCCATGGCACGCTTGCCCACCGGCCAACATTTTGCAGGATGCAGCGGCAAAGGAGGAGGCAGAAGAGGATTCGAGAGAGGTTCGCAAGAAGGAGAAAAAGGATAATGCGGAAACTGAGGAGACGCCAAAGAAGGTCCCCAAGTTGAAAGCTAAGGCCAACGTGAAACACGAGAAGGAGAAGACCAAGAAGACTGGAAACAAATGGTCTGCGTTAAAGTCGGAGGAGGAGGACCCAAACGAACAGGAGGCAACTGAGAAAGGAAATAGACAGGTGAAAGACGACACGAGCTGCTGCTCGGAAGAGACATGGTGAACCTCTGCCACTGAGTTTTGCGACCCTGACAGATTCCCGAGGCAGTGGCAGTGTGGTCTTACCTGTTGCCGCGACATGGTCTTACCTGTCGACCCTGCTTTGCTTGGTAGGCCTGTGTTTGTCTGCGTTTTTCAGCCCACTTGATTCCCACTTGCAGAATTTTGGAGTTATAGACGTAACCAGTATGCCTCAGCAGTATGCTTTTCTTGTAGCAGAATCAGACTGGCAGTAAGGGTACGCAACACTGGACGTTCCTGATTCTAACGGTAAAATTAGTGACTGGAGGATCTCTTACTACCAGTTGAGACGTTTTTCACCAGCTGCACGACAGCTTCGGTGCGGTCCAAAAAGAGGAGCACGCTGTTGCTGTAGGGAAACCGATCCAGGCATTCAAGTCAACTCGACCAGCGCTTAATTTGACCCACCCGAACATGGCCCCGTGTAGCTTATGGCGCCTGTGTAGCTCGTCTTTTGTTGTCTTTACCACTTCTTTTTGTGGCTCCAAAGCTTGCGCTGCAGCCCCTTGCTGCTCCTCTACCTGCCAACGGCTTGACTGATGGTAGTGACAATCACTCTGGCGTCGACTGCGTCGACCCCAACCAGCAAACACGCACACTTTGGGCCTCACTCATCGAAAAAATCGCCCACCCGCGCGTGTTCACATGCCCATGTGGGGTGACTCGAACCTGGCAGTGTCGTCGGTGGCAGCGCCGCTTGGCCGAAACACACCGTGCCACTGTGGCCCGACGCACGGCCCCTTCGGGGTTCGTTGAGTGGGACAGGCTCGCGCACTTCCGCACCTGCGTTTGCGCGGGGACAAGAGAACACATGAAAGCGAAGCACGTCAAAGTGGAAGGGTGGAACTTCATAGCCCTGTGTGGTTCCAAACTGTTCATTGTGCACCGTGGGTTCCAAATCTGCGCTGTCACCCAGCCCTCGTATCGGCGCATTGCACCGATGACGGGATAACGGGGAATCGTGAATGTTCGACACTTTCATTTGCCAGACACTCCGTGGGACTGGCATATTTGCCTACATTGAGGTGGTTTGGGGGGTCAATGTAGGCATACATGGCAGTCCCATGGAGTGTCTGGGTTTGCCAAGCCCCCGCGTTATTGGCATCGGAGTTGGTTTGGTGTTTGGTTCCGTGGACCGTCGACCAAACGTCAGGTGTGCGCTTTGGCCATGGTGGAAGCGGCCAAGGATGGGTGCGAAGATGTTTCGAAGGATGGCGCGGTTCGCCCTTCACCTGGGGAAAAGGGGAAAGGAGGGCCGTTCGCGCATGCAAAAACATTCAAGGTGACCACTGGGAGAATCAAGGAGCTGAGTGGTTGGAGGTTCGAGATTTCCCAATCATGTTTGTGTTGGTTGGTGGAAATCTGCTGGGAGTTGGGGCTTGCAGAGTTTGCCTCGCTCCCCCAAACCCAGCCATGCTGAGTGCCAAAAGCACTTGGGGTGGACAGGGTAGGGGAGTATTGTATCTAAGACTAAGAATCGAAGTGGGGTTGTTGCATCAGTCTGCGGAACACATTAGAGTTTTCAATCACTTTTGGACTAAGGGCCACCCTAACAAATGTTACGTATAGAGTCTGTGATACCATTGCTTCAAGGAACTCCAACATACTACGCAGCCATCCACGATGTTCCTCCTCAGCTGGTTGATTGGAATTCCTGGGAGAGGTTAACTCTGGTGAAGACTTATTGGAACTGGGACTTATTGGCTTTTGTGAGCGTCTATGTATGTTCTCAACCCAATGATGTGCGTCCAGAATTTGCAGATGGAACCCCAAAACCATTGCTTGTTAAAGGATCAGGTGGGATTTACCTTGAACCACGGGTTCCTTCCACACCGGCTTATTGCTGTACTTATGTGCTCCCTTGAACCTTTGTTGGGGCCGGCCATGACCACAGGCCATGTCTTGGGAGCTTCGCGTGATCGAGCTGAAGTCAGGACGGGATGATCAGCATCGGCGATCCCGTCACGGTGATGGGCGCGCCACTGTAGATGAGTCGGACCTCATGAGGAGCTCAACCCACGAAAGGATCGAACGCCAAGGTCCATCCTTGGAATCTGGAAGTCGTTTCGGTGTCCCAAAGCTGACGGACGAATCTTGTGCTATCTTCTCTGGGAACTTAAAACACACACACACACACACCTTTGGGGCAGTTAAACTAGTGACGTACTTTGAGCGTGAAGGAAGGTTGGATGTGGTAACGGTGTTGTACATGTATACAGATGTATATATTTGTTTCAGACCCTCAAACCTGTGCACTAGTCATGCCATGATTTAATCGTAGACTTGCTACCTGTGCCCAGTGACTATGAACAAGAGACTATGAACCCTCTCACAGCATGCCCAGTAGACCTACAGCAGACAGACTCGCAAGACTTGGAGGAGTCCGAAGCGACTTGCGGATCCAAAGCACAGCCTTCAGCAGAGCTGAAAAAGAACCAAAAACGAAAACCAAAGAGTTGCAGCAACACGCTCTCCGACTCGGTGTCTTCGGGATGAAGCGAATCCCCAAACGGATGTTCTGCTTGGCTTCGCCGTTCGGGTTCGTGGCAGGACACGGAGATCAGGAAGCTCTTCAGAAGCTCTGCCACGAGCTGTGCCCGGAGAGTTCCGGTGAGTTTTCCGGTGCGAGTCGCTCGCAAGCGTGCTTTAAGAGAAGACTTGGAGGTGCTTAATTAAGGGTCATAGTCATATCTGTCTCAGTGTTGCACTCCAGTTTTTCACCCAAGAGCCTCCAAATAATTACCCCTCTAATCCAGCAAGTTTCGACCAAGAGCATTGAAAAAACCTCTCAGATCTGAGCTTGAAATCACCTTTCGAACCTCGAAGCTGTCCCCCAAGCAGCCCCATCCTCATCCCGCCAGTCATCCCACCATATTCACCGGAGAAGCTCCATGCCAGGTACACTGACCGCTGCGTCGCGCAGGAGCAAAGCTGTTTGCTGCTCTTGAGCGATCGGCGTCAGGCCTGGAAGACTGCGTGGCACGAGCGGGTTAGGATGGCCCAATTTGGGGGTAAGTGAGAGATGAACAAGCATTCCTTTTCTCGGCAGCGGAAGCTTCTTCTTCACAGCAATGTGTGAGTTCTGAAATTCGCGACTGGGGAGATCCAATTCCTCGCTCGAGATCCTCTCCTATTAACTATAAGTGCTTGTGCTGTTTTTGAGTTGAAAGCCCTTATCACTTTTGACAGCGTTCAGTACGCTGCCAAGTGATCGTGGCTAGGTCTGACATCTCTGGACAGCAACCTTGATTGAACCAAGATCAGTAGGTCGCATTGGATATTTTCCGACACCAGCGGCATTGATCACCACCGACTTCCAAGCTACCTGGGTGTGACTGAGACTCGTTGGTTTGAGGGGTGTCTCCCTATCAAGATCCCACCCACCCACCCACCCACCCACCCTTCCACCCACCCACCCACCCACCCTTCCACCCACCCCCCCACTCACCCTCCCACCCACCCACCCACCCTTCCACCCTTCCACCCTTTGGATTGGGCTCCAAAAGAGAAAAGAACCGTTCCACAGGCTCCAGGTCTTTCACGTGGCTCACTGGGTCGGTTTGGGGGTGGCGAGGTCGATCGTTATGAATATCCAGCAGGTACAAAAGGTATGAGATTTATGATCCTCTAGAGATCCAGGGTATCTCCACGGTATGAGTATCTCATCAATTCCCTGGTATCGCATCTCGTTATGAATATCCAGGGGATCCCTAGAATTGAGGAGATTTATGATCCTCTAGACTCTAGAATTATGATGCTCTAGAAGATTTATTCTTCCACTACGAGGTCTCGTCAAACACCGACCGTCGCGTCCAACACCGACGCCGTCGGCGTGCCGTGCCGGGTCGAGGCCGAAGATTGGCTCCGTGCCGTGTGCATGTGGTTTTTGGGCTGCTCGGCACTGTGGAGAACAGAGACGATGAGACGAAGAGATCGCGACTAACAAGGGCAGGAACGAACAAGCGCATCGCTACGAACGTCACCTGGGCATTACTACTAGTAGCAAGGATGCTACTAGTAGCTCCTGGCATTACTACTAGGAACAAGAAGCTACTAGTTGATGAGACGAAGAACTTTGATCCTTTTTGCAGGCTTTGGACATGAAAAGGCAGACACATGGCCTCCTGGCAGACTGTTTTGGCGACTGTTTTGGTGACCTGCTGTTGTTGCGTCTAGAACGCCATGAGCAGTGAGGGTCATTTGGCCGGGACCAGTGAGGAACTACACTACCCCGAAAATTCCCAGTGTGGTGGATGGATGTCTGGTGGATGGAGCGATGTCCCATTTTCACCGGTGAACACCGCGAAGCAAAACGCATCCTGTTCGCATTGGTTTCGACGATGTTCGTGAAACGACGCCTTTTGGCAGGTGAGCTAGCGGATGTGTGGAACATGCTGAGTGCTAACAAGGGGGACAGCCACAAGGTGGAGTTTCATGCGAACACCTGCGAGAAGACAAGATCTACCAGAGTGAAAAGCTGTTTGGACAAGGGTTTGACCCAGAGTTTATTGAGCGTAATCCGAAAACAGGGCCACTCCAATATGAAACGTGGGAATCATTTTCTTGGCGTTTGCACCTCTGAAAACCAGGTCGTGACGCAAAAAAGAATCGGCGGACCAGTAGACCTTGCATGCCTTCCAAAAGATGGTGACCTATGGCGAGCTATGAGAGCTATGGTGACCTAGAGTGCAATGTGATGAGACCTTCCCAAGAAAGAGAAGAGTGAGAGAGAGAGAGAGAGGTCCACTAAGACTGGACTGGCAATGTTAGATAGAAACCACATCCTAAGACCATTTCAAAATGGGACTTGTCCAAATCCTTTTGCTCTCACCAGTTCCTTCACTTATTCTTTCAAGGGACACAATCAAACAAAGCTCATAGCAGCAAACAGAAGTTACAGCCCTTGGATTCGCACCGGGAAGATCTGGTTCGCTCACTTGGAAAAGAACCAACCATGGTTCGACTCCTCAGTGACCTTCGACTCCGACCTTGTTCCGCCCACCAGGTGGGCGCGTTGCCGCGAATTCCTGGCGTCCAACAAGCAAAAAAGAGAACCCTTCGTCCAAAAACACGACCTGTCCCAAGACAAGCGCGAGACAAGGGCCTGTCTGGGACTCCAGCGAAACTCTTCATGTTGGCGCCCAAGCTTTCCATCCACTTCAAGATCACCGTCCCAGCCCGACTCTCGAGCCGTCCGGACGTCCGTCCGACCTCCTCGTCCAACGGCTCAGGCCGACGGCCCCAAGTGCACGCCGACGAGGCGTGACCGGCTTCCGGGTTTGGGATGCCACGACGGTCTTGGCTAAGGAGTTGATACTTGAGTCAACCAAACATCGTTGGCTTTTCTTTGTATGTTCAGCTTCTCATCAGTGGTTCTATAGAAGACATAGAATTTACTTCAGGCTGCTCCTTTGAGTCATGACTTCACAAAGCCCATTGCGGCGCTTTGTGAAAAGTACCTGGGCGTTCCTTTTTGTTTTTGTTTTTTTTCACCATGACCTGAAAGCCATTCATTGGAACATGGCTCAAGCCGAGCTCACTAGAAAGCAAGAGAAGTCGTCTGACCATTTGCGATCTTTTTTTGAAGTCGCCGGATTTTCTTGGCAGATGGCAAATTTGGGTCCAGACCGGCCTTAAGGCCATCCTGACAAGATCTGGAGGTGGACTGGAGTGGAGAGAAGCACTCCCTGGCCGCGTCAGGAGCCCTTCTGGCTGCTGGTGGAGCTGAACCGTCGGGTGGACCCGGAGATGGAGAACATCGCATGGCAGCGGCGCTACAGGTGTTTTCACATGGCAGTGGTGAACTGCATGCGGCAGGGCATGCATTCGATGAGTCTGTAGCTTTGGGGGTTGTCCATGTTGGTCCATTGTGTTTCACTGGGAGGAGTCAACATGAGCCAACCAAGGGTCTGTGTTTTTTTTTTCACAAGAAGATCTCCTGGTACATATTGGTACATCCCGTGCTGCATCATTCAGGTTTGTGTCCATTTGGGGGGTCTTGACTTTTCAGGGGAAGCGGCCGCCACTGGAGAAGTAGCAGCACCTGCACCACACGTGGTTCCTCATCCCAAGGATTCACTGTGTGCAGCCTCTCGCCCGGTCTGCGGCTGGAACGCAGCAAAGGTGCGGGCCCCCCGGTGCCCGACTGGGTGACGCTGTTCTCCGACGGGTTGAGAGTTTCGCACGGTTCGGCGCCTTTTTTGGAGTGGAGTGATCTTCTGTACCCAGACCGCTCCATTCACAGCCCGAGCAGTCCCTGAAAAGAACCGCAGGGGATTCGTTTGGACCCAGACCGAGCACTCCTCCAGAGGAAATTCGGGTCCGAGCCCCCTACTTAGGGTCCATCTATTTTCAGATGGACATGTGTCAAAGTTGATGTTTTGCCTACTTAGGGGCCCTCCTACTTAGCCCCCTCATCTGACTTGTGCTTGTTGTAGACGGGCGACGGGTCGTCGTCCGCTCGATGCGCTCTCGGAGACGAGGACGACTTGGGACGAGGACGAGAAGTCGACTGGGACGAGACGACGGTCTGGGGGTGGACTTGGATGCCATAGCTTTGGGTCTCTCCTATGAATATCATTTAATTAATACAATATAATGTATTGTTTCCTATGAATATCATGGAATATCTATTATGAATATCATTGAATATCTATTAATTGCCTGTACCTGCCGTCAGTAAAGAAGCAACTCACGATTTTTTTGAACACGGGCATCCACGTTGCTGGTAGTACGATAGACCCAAGCGATGCTTAGTTTTTGCTGATCGAGTGCTTATCTTCTGCGTATTATATGGGGGCATTCCCCTTCTGGATCTTCTGGGGAATATTTAAAGCTTTTATAAGCTTTTACTATAGTTCCTCAAGCACATTACGGACCATGGCGCATGTTCAGAGTTCAGACCAGCTGATTTCATTGAGACTTATCCACCCAGGTGGTGTGCCACACAGACTTCAGACATGCATTGGGACGCCGCACTGCCATGTGGGCTGTGAGGAACTCAACGTCCAATCCAAACCATGCATTATGGGAGGTTGCCATCCCAACAACGAAGGGATTGAAACGAATAACGGGGGGAGACCCCAAAAGGGGTCGAAAGGGGTGCCATGACCGCCGAAGGATTGGTGGCTATTATTGTAATACTCCAAACAACAAATACAGCATGTCCCTACCCTAGGGCTCCAACCATGGGGTGGATGCCAGGGGGGTCGAAGACCATTCCAGAACCTGAGGAGATGGGACAGGAGCCCTATAGGGCTAATACACCACAGAGTATGCTCCGCTCCCAAAAGAATCAATTGTAGTCTGGCAGAAGCCTCAAGAATAAGACTCACCAACACCCGCAGGGATAAACACATCATGTGTTCCATCTACCAAGGGTTTCTTGGTTTTGGCGGAACGAGGGTGATGTTGATTTTCCCAGCTAAATCCCCATGGCATGAGGAAGATGTTTCTTTTTTTACCGGCATCCGAATCAGCAAATTCAAGGAGTTTGGATCGTTCCAACGGCCACCGTTTCATCTCCATCGAGCCATGTTTCGCCGGACTTCCAGCTCAGGTGACCAATGAAGTCCCCTTGACCCTGCCTGCGCTCGGTTCACGCCGACAACGCGGGCGAAAACGGAGGAACGTGCGGAGAGACGTCTGGAGTACGTGCGGTTTCCAGGCGATTCCGATGGCAAAGGATTTTGGGGGTTTAACTCAGCTGGTGAGTGCCAGAAGTCTCCAAAAGTTGTTCTTGGTAAGTACACATTCACTGGAAGTGAAGAAACCCTTCACAAAAATAGTACTTCGATCCATGTGAGTGAGTCAGAGTGTACCTGGAAACCCAGTCGCAACCCCAAACAAACGGATGTTCTCCTTTGCAAAATCCGTTGCTGTTTGGAGACACAGCCATGTGTTTCTGGTAGATTTCCAGGTCAAGGACGTTCCCAGACTCAGGTCCACTCGAAGACTCTTAGGCGATTCTTTTACACCAGCAGTCACGTTCGACGGGGTGCTATCCATGGAGGTTAAGGGTGCCCCTGTCACATCCACTCACTGGATGGGACGAGCCACACCACCCCGTCTTGTGACTCCTGGCAGTTATATGTACTTTGACTCCCAGACATCATGTTCTAAAGTCCGCTCCAGCGCAAGCCTCCAATCCGGCCACCCAGCCTCAACGAGAACACACCCCGCGTTCCGGAACGCGCCAGGCGGCTGTTAGCCCACGCGGAGAACCCCAAGTCGCTGGATGTGTTCCAGATCGAGGCCAATCGGCTAGGGTCGAGGTCAAGGGTCCTAAAGATCTAAGGCTTGGCCGGATTTTTCAGGATGGGCCGTTGCTGCCATGGCAACCCCACAAGAAACACGAATCGCAAGCCTTTGAAGGGGTTTCTTTATGGTTTCTTTTGATTTTCGCTTTAGTCCGACTTCCCAAAAAATCCCAAGAGAGCATCCCGCCTGCCTTTAGGGCGAATGTTCAGAACACAACCCACGTCACTTCGAAGACCCATCCCCCCCCTCACCCAACCCTCCGCTGAAGTGCGACGCGCGCGTTTTTGCTCACGCCCCGAGCCTGGAGCCCACCTTTTCCAGGCCACGTGGTCCCAGACACACCAAAAGCTTGAGGCTCGGCACGGTACGGGACAGATGCCGTGCAAAGCGATGTCGTGTGGCGTGACGACCTGGAAGGTCCCACGCGACGGTGGGGACCCGTGACGGTGGGGCTGATTCGTCTGTGGGTTGAAGGCGTTTGAAGCTGATTTGTGGGACCTTTAAGACCTTAGCTTTTAGTGCCTGACAGGGGTCGAAGATCTCGAAGCTGAACACCAGAAGCTGTGGTGAGGGCCGAACTCTGCCACTTTCCCAGGCTTCCATGATTCTTTGCTGGGAGTGGAATTCTTCCCCTACAAGTCAAAGACCTCATTCTACTGGAGTTGGCCGCCGCCGCCACTCAATGAGGTGTTTTTTGACCAGCTTTTAATGGGTCAGACTGGACGTAAAAAACGTAGGGTTCTGATATGTTCCGATGTTTGTTTGGGGTCAACACTCCACCTTGCTCTGTGTTCGGTGGCATGGAAGCGTTTTCAGTGTGAAGGGGCTTACTTCTTCAGTGCCTGGGCACGGATTCTGAGGTTCACTTGGCTCAGTTGATTGCCTTTGGGGATGGACATTCAATACCTGTTTCCTTGGGAAATGGGCCCGGCCCAAGGCCCCCCTGAGCTCTGGGATTAGATGACCTCCCTCTAAGGTAGGAGGTATGAAATTCACCATTGGCCACTTCCAAAACCTGATGAAAAGTGTACAAACTGCCAATGACATCCGTGATCGGGGATGGACCGTTTGGTCGAAGCCGCTCTGCGTGTTCCAACCCGGGATGGCTTGCTAAGCCCGTTTCCCGCCCCCGGTTCGACCCGATCAGCTGTTTCGACGATGGACTCGACTGGAGTGACGGTTTCGACCACCCACATGCAGGTCTTCGCCACCCCACGTGGGCGTGTGCAGATCTGCCTTATAACCACGACGTAGATGCGAGGAGCATTTTTGGGGTCCTCCAGTCTGGTGTATGCCATCAGGTTCCATGTTTTTCGTGTACAGTGTACTACTCCATGCCATCCACAGGTTACATGCCAATCGGTTCCATTTAGAATGTTTATCGTATGGTCCTCCAGTCTCTCCCACAATGTACTACCTGTCATTCCAATCCAAATGTCTCACCTACGAGGCAAGCTGCCCGTCTAAACTCTAAACCTCACGAGGTTCCACCCAGCAAGACAGCCGGTGTCCAGATCCAAAGGTCCATGGGGAGTGACGAGTGTTCGAAGAGGTTTTTCCAGTCCATGGATCATCCAGACACTTCATGGGACTGGCATATGCAAGTATACGTATACGTATTACATTGGATCATTGGGGTGGGGTTGAGTTGGGGATGGGGTTGAGTTGGGGCCCTAACCTTCCAACCACCATTAATTTACGCTTTAATATGCTTTAATCAACTAACGATTTGATTGGATGTGACAAAACCAGGTCAACCACGGTCAACCATGTTTTCCATGGAAGTCGAGGGCGGGTGGCATGTATTCCAAACCGTCGTGTTTGGGTGTTTTGGGTTCGATCCCAAAGAGGTGGACGGCGCCCAAACGCCGACGGTCGCGGGACTCCCAGCCGGACGCTTTTGGTGGCGAGGTCAAAGGAAGGCCGGAGAGAGAGAGAGGACGCGACGAGCGATCCTTGGGGGTTGGTGAGTTGAAGAAATAGAGGCCCCACCAGGACCCTCCGTTTTCGGGGTGCCCTGTCTGGAAGCGTTTTTTTGGTAGTGTGGGGTAGTCCAGCCAGGACACCCCGAAAACGGCGGGTCCAGGTAGAGATCACAATGGACATTGAAACAGATCATGCGGGCTGAATGACCAGCAGAGGTTGAAGAACCGGAAGAACCCTAATCCCATAAGTACCCCGGATATGATGGGTCCTTTTTCAGGTCACATGCACTACACCTCCCTTGGAGGTCCTCCTACTGATTGGAGAACTCGTGAGAACTCCGACTTAATCACATAGAGCCGGATTGAAGAAAAGGTCAACTAGAAAGAGGTCAACCCCGGGCCCTGGACTTGGGACCTGCCACTCTCCAGCGTTGGTTCAACTAGCTTCAAACCTCGGCCCCTGGGCCAGTGCTCATGGTTCAAACACCAAACCACACGAAACTGCAGGTCAGTTTCACCTCATGAAATACTGGAGCTGGTCGAGGAGGCAGGTTTGACCAGGTTGGGACCTGGATCAGACTGGACGTTGGGTGACGAAACCATCATGAGGCCATGGAAACTAACCCTTCTTGGAGGTCTTGGAGTTCGTTCGCCGCCCGAGGTGAACCGAAGAGCTCCCAGTGTGGAAGAGCTCCTTGGGAAGAAAACGACGGCCCCCACCGGTGCGATGGGAGAAAGGACAGCAAAGTCATCGGAATCTCTGAAGGCAGATCAACCCTGCCGCTTTTGACATGTACTTAAGTCCAATCATGTGGTCGTTTTAAAACTGCTTACTACAAGTAATTATATAGTCAGATTTAATTAGTGAAGATGCCAAGCTGTTGCTAAGTGAGGTTGCATGTGGGGCTATTTCAGGTTATAAGTCTTCCATGCGGGCTCAAGGACCTCTATTAGCCCTCGACTTCACAGGTCACCATTCCTGCAACTTTGAAGATCCTTGAACTCAGCATTTCGGAAAATTTAGGTTAGTCGGGTGCTGATATGCTTGGGTGATCTTGGGTGTGTTTCTCTTGTTTCTGTAGATCTGAGAATCTGTGCATATCAATATGAATCTCGCTCCAGTTTGTTTGGTGAAACTGTTAAAGTTTGTCTAGTCGTACTAGTCTGACTGTCTGACTTTACATACACGCCAGGGTTTCGCATGAGTTTTTCTGCCCGCAAAAGCTTCAGCGTGATGAACATGATGAAGACATGTTCACAGGGTTCGGTTTGGACCCCTGGCGACGTCCCTTCTTGTCACCACGGCTGAAAAAGTCCCCTGTGGTCTGTGTCGACTGCACAAAAATGGTTTTCTCTTCTGTGTTGCCAATCTGTGACATATGTTATGTCACTTATGCTGTTTACCCTCAATAGCCATGGGATGTATTCTGTGCCAGCCGACCCTATTGGGCCGCCCTTGGGTTTGCTCGTGAATCAAAGGTCGACAAAAAAAGTGGGGGGCCGGCCAGACAGGATGGTCCTGGTACCTTTTTACTGGTTGTATAGATGAAAAGGCAGATTTGTTTCGCAGAGTTGGAAGATCCAGCGATGTATATTAAAGGAAAAACAATAAGGAACACCGGTGGTATAGTTTTGTGGTATAGTTTTCTTGTTGTTCTTGGGGTGGACGGTGCGGTTTCTTCGGAAGGAATGTCTCTAAGTATGCCATTGTATCCTGACAAATGCCCCAGTTCCACCTGCGAGGGCCTGGGTTTTCACCATGTTTTGACTGCCGCACGGCCTTTTGCCGCTGCCGTTGGTTAGACTGACTGAGGTTAGACTGAGGCGACGGAGCTCATCCTTGCAACGACAATGGATTGAGATTGCACTTTATGCCTCAGAAGAGTTTTGTACACATCTTAGAATCTTGTAGAAGCCAGCCATGTACATAGCGACCAGGGCTTGGTGGATCTTTATCTACCTGGAGCATCCATTTTCGATCTAAAATGTAGCTGACCTTTGCAGTTTCAATGGCTTCGCAGATCATCGCCATCTCTTTCACTGCATGTCGGTGGATTTGAAACGCACATTTGTTGAGCGCTTGATGGATTACTAGTGGCCTACCAAGTGTCCGAAGGATGTTGGTTCAGATGTGGGGTGGCTGGATCCAGGGTTTGTAGTTGGGAATTTCATGCCGTGACGCTTCAACTCGATACCAGGACCCGTCACAGCGATTCCACTGGCGCACCACAGCTATGTAGCGCACCGACGACAGAATGCGAGCTCGCTGGTCTCATGAGCACGCGGTACATGGACTGCCAGCAAAGCATTACTTAAATATATGTAATATATTTGGGAATGTTTCGGATGTTCTTCAGATACTACTAGTAATGTACTGA